TATTCCCGAGATAATACAGGAAAAGCGAATGAAAATTTGAAATAAAAAATTGTACCACTCCTGTATCCATTGGCCTGCCTCTACACAGTGATAAAATGGTTGGAACGGTGAAAAACCGACATTCCATTTACGAGTTAAAAGAGGAGAAGTGTATGAAAATTCGGAAATTGTTTACACCATTTTCTCATTTTTGCTTACCTTTTCATAGCTGGGAAATTATTGGAACTGTAATCAGTAAAATATATCCTTTATTCTAGAGATAGAAAAAGCAAAAGAAAATTCTGAAAATGTCTACACCATGTCTCCGTTTTCGCCAGCTGTACATAATTGGAAACTGTTGGAACATTAAAAAATTGATCCTTCATTCCCGATATAAAACAAGAAAAGCGAATGAAAATTCCGAAAATTTTTACGATTCCTGTTTGCATTGGCTTTCATCAAAGCAGTTATAAAATGGTTGAGACGGTAAAAAACTGATGCTTCATTTCCGAGATAAAAAAGGTAAAGCTAAAGAAAATTCAGAATTTTTTTTACACTGTTTCTCTGTTTTCGTCAACCTATACATAGCCAGAATACTGTTGGAACGGTGAATATCTGATCCTTCATTTCCGAGATAAAAGAGGAAAACCAAATGAAAATTTGGAAAATTGTTACCACTCCTTTTTCCATTGGCCTGCCTGCATATAGTTAAAACTGGATGGAACGGAGAAAACCGAGCATTCATTCACGAAATAAAAAAGTAAAAGCGTATGAAAATTCTGAAAATTTCCTACAATATTTGTCTATTTTTATCTACCTTTACAAAGTCGGAAAACTGTTGGAACGGTAAAAAACTGATCCTTCATTCCCGAAATGAAAGAGGAAAAGCGAATGAAAATTCGGAAAATGTTAAATGTTAAACCGACGGTATTATCGTAGTATGTACTTCCATCAGCTAAAAGAAAATAGAAAATGTTTTATACTTGTTTTCCTTTGATCCTAACTCTAAACAGAAAAAAATCGTGAGTATTTCATTTTTTTATTACGATTACGCGATTATGATTACGTTATTACGATTACAGTGATTTTGATTACGTGATTACGATTACAGTGAATTTGATTACGCGCTTACGATTACAGTGATTTTGATTACGCGATTACACGATTGTAATCAGGTAATTACTTTTGCTGTATTTATAGTGCTATTGTATCAAGTATAAAATTGGGGTGGTCATTAAGTTTTATTTTCAGTTATAATCAGGTAATCGTTGATTACGATTTTGCCCATCTCTGGCGCCAGCTTATAGATGCACTTGCCCATTTCTAGGCAGAGATTCCTAGAGACATCAATTGAAGCAGGCTGGAGGACCCTCTCAGTTAAGTAAGATGTCTATGCCAGCATAGAATGGCACGTTTATTTTACACAATTCATATAACCCAGCACTTCATCAAAATACAGCCCACTGCCAAAATAAGTCGAATGTTGCTTATGTTGAGCTCATTAGAGTTATTTGCCTTTACTTTAATTAAATTTGGAAAGTTGCCTAAACATGTTGTTCCACCAGACACGATTATACATATTTTATAAGAGAATAATTGCCTGGTAGGTAATGAAAGTTTTTGTAAAAATCCTCTATTTCCGGGCTAATATTCGTAATTGGCCAATTGATTCGTTTTTTTTTTAATATATCATATATCCTATATCTAATATATCTAATGCTTTTGTTACGTACTTGGGGAAGTCAAGCTGTTTCCACATAAGTTTCCAGGAATTTTCAGGAAAGAACCCATAATGGAGTTGCTGGAATTAAGTGACTTCATTAATACTTACGTTAGTCCTTGCTTGTCTTGGCCTGCTTTGCTGAACATTGCATTTATTTTGAAGAAAATTGGTTTTTCCTTCAGCAATTAAAATTTAATTTTGAATTTTTATTTTTTTTAACAACTTTGAAGATGGCGCCAACTAAGAGTACTGAGGGATTTAAATCTATTAATGACAGGAAGGAAAGGCTGTTTCTTAGAAATCAAACCACTTTCAATATGATTACGGGTCTCTGCTAGAAAGGAATTTTTATGGCTAGGGCTTCAGAAATTAAACCATAACTGGAGGAATTTGAAGCCGTGTTTAAGAAAATTTCGGTGCTAAATGAATCGTTACAAGAGGAACATAGGATTGAGATAAACGCACCTTTTTTAGCAACGGAAAATCTTAATTATGAGATAAAAGTTGCTGATGAGAGTTTAATTTAAGCTGAACACGTGGTAGTTCCCGCTTCTCAACCCACCATGTCTGAACCAGTTATCATTATTTGATGCCTTACTTCATCATCGAAATTACACGGATATAGTCAAATTTTCTTATCTCAATTCACTTTTAGATCATTCTGATTCACAGACCATTTATTCAATTGAGTTTAACGCAGAAAATTACAGTTTGGCCTAAGATACATTAATAAAGTGTTATAGCAATGAAAGGATCATTGCGACCTAACATGTTAACAAAATTATATGGTTTAAATCATTTTATGTTGATAATTCTTCCAATTTTAAAAACTTTCTGGACACATTTGAAGATAATTATAATGCTCTAAAAAATCTTAAACTCAATAACTTCGCTGATTTTGTTTTACTGCATCTCGGTCTGAACGTTCAGCTTAATACAAGAAGATTATTTGAGAATAGCCTCAGCGAAGAGACAGTTTCTAGCTTTGAAGAATTTTACGAGTCTCAAGTAACAAATAATTCTCCTGCTGTTTCGTGCCATGCTACCACCAGCTCACAGGCACTTCTGGGTACTGCCTTAGGTAGAATTTTTTCAAATTCAGGTCAGTTCTATTCATGCAGAGTGGTGATAGATCCAGGTTTCCAAATTAATTTAATTACCGCTGATCTAATGAAAAAGTTGCGCCTTCGTTCCCTTGTTAGTACTCGTGTGGTGTCTGGAGTAGGTAATACCTCCATCTCTTCATCTCCGGCTGAGCTAAAAGTGAAGTTGGGTTCAATTAGAAACAACAATATATACGAGTTTTCAGCCAGAGTATTGCCTTGCATCAGGGGAAGTTTGCCTCCTTTTGTCGTGTTCCAAGAAGTACAGAATAGATTCGTTTCGATTGAACTTGCGAACTTGCCCTCAATTTCATACGCCGGGAAAAGTTGATCTGCTTCTGGGTGCTAAGATGTACGGTGAGGAAGTGACCCTGTATTATTTTTAAAGGGTCAACCCGAATCAACGCTATTCGTACCTCATTAGGATGTATATTATTTAGGGACACCCTCTCAGTGGACCCATGACCTTTTATAGTATATATACATTGGAGTTCTGGCAATGGTCAGATTCTCCACTGAAGAAATGATTATATGTGACTAAAGTGCTCTCTCGTAATCTTCACTGCCTTTATAGCCTGAAGTCCTGCTTTCCCCTCTACAATTGGAGGAACAAGCCTGCCTTGGAGTTTCCTCGGGTGATTGAAAATAGTGTATGTAGGTATATCTGTGTTTTTCAATATTAATTTACTTATCTTAAGTTATTATCTTTTTATTTAATATCGAAAATTTTGATGACCTTTGAAAATTCGACCTCAGTTTTGAAGGTCATGGCTTATTTTAAGAAGGTTGGATTGCGTTGAGTAGCCAGGTCCAAAGCCATATAGGAATGGGTTGATGAGGGATCATTCCTCTAGGAAGTTGGAAATAGATTTTTGACAAGGCGTTTCAACAATTGTGACAGGTTGGAAAGGAGGTGAATAGGACGGAGGTCGTGCAGTGAGGAAGGGTTAGAAGTTTTATTCAAAGGTCGGACTAAAACATTTTTACAGGAAGATAAGAATATGGAATTTTGCAATGAAAAGTTGCATATATGGTAGGTAGAGCACGGGAATAAGGACTGATTTTATTAATTTTACTGTTATATTGTCAGGACCATTAGTGCGAGATTTTAAAATAGTGAAATGTAGTTCATCATAGGACACAAAAGGAGTTTTCAGGATCGAGATGGTGATATTTAACAGTGACCAAAGAGCAAAGTGGATTCAAATATTTGTTAAAGGAGAAACAAAGTTGAAGTTTGTATTTTGCATCTCGAAGAACTCTTAAATACGAATCTTCATAGAAATCAGAAAACAGGAGCGGTTTGTACAAAATGTTTGGCAAGAGTGGAGGCTTCGATTTATTTCGGAAATCACAACTTAAGTGTGACAACTTAACCATGACTCCACTCGTACACACGGAAATAAGCATTGATTTATGGCCACATAAACTACACTATAATACTTGTTTTTGGCTACTATGGCGTATTGGTAAGAACCTTTGAGTTATATATTTTTCGACCTAGTATTACCAAAAAACGTTTCATTGAAATAGGTGACTCCAACGTCCATCGATAACCTCTCCCAATATCCATAACCTAGTAAGTGGAAATTTATCTTCTGACAGACATCATCCAGGGCAAGAGTCACGCTTCGACAGTTTCATGTTTACTTTATTGTAAAAAGCAATTCCGTTAATGAAATAATATCATTATAAAGATGTTTAATTAATATGGCGGTACTTAATTGATGAAATGTTTCGGATCTTAAAAAATGTGGAATATAACCAAAATAAATAAATGGGTTGAGGCCGAACACCCTATATGAATTAAAAATCTGAGTAGATTTAATTGGGTCAGAATGCTTAATTCAGATAGACGTTATCAAAGTAATATGTAATCAAAAGATCTGTATCTTTCTTATTTTTTTTAACAGAAAGTGTCATACATTTTTCATAAATAGTCTATATATAATTTATGTGTTACCATTATATAAGGTAATTTTCCAATGAAAGAGGCATTAGTGGCTTACAGCTGTTACTATTAAGGAAGGATTGATATAATAGAAACAACGTTGATCGAAAGTGAAACAAATCATGGACCTACTATTAGTATTCCCAAATTCTATTCAAATTACTTTTTTTTTTGTATATATTTTTTAGTAAACTAAACTAGCTTGGAACTAATAATGATGGCACGATGTACATGACTTAATTACCTGTTGGTAGTTTTTAGATGAACTGTTTCGTATTAATGAATCCTTAAGCGTCTGAATAACTTTGAAGAATTTGGTCATTATCGCTGCGGCGGAATTTTGGTAACACTCATTCTTAGAAACAAATTAAATTGACGTGTAATGAAAAAGTCATTACTTTTTGTACCAGAAATTTAGTATAGCTATGGTTTACCTTCAACTACATTACATATGTGTGTATTTTGAAACATAAAACAAAACACATGTACTACGCTAAAATTTATTGATATAAATAAAAAGATAAGCCGAGGATGGGGAAAAAATTATTATAGTCACTTATAAAACATATTTGTGAACAGTCTTTTCAGTTTTTACTTTCACTTACGTATATATGTAATATATTGTAAGGGTAAGTATTGCGATCGAGAAAATGTTTGAATCTGATATTTCAATGGAAATACAGGTTTTGGGGTACCCTGAGTCCAAATAACCAAGTCTCGAAAAATGGTCTATATGTATGTGAACACTCTAGCTCGAAAATGAAAAGTCCTAAGAAACTGATATTACGCATTTAAAATAGGTATATGCCTTAGATGTGACAGCAACTTTTTCCTTAAAATTGGCTAACCGGAAGTGCCACTTTATATCAACGTTGGAACACATTTTCACAATTTTCTCCAAAGCGGGTTTAACGATTTTTATTAAACTCGGTGTATCATTGTATAATTAAGTGGTTTTTAATATCAATTAGGTTTTATCCCCATTGATGTCACTTTACAGGGCTTAAATGCTCAATGTTCATATACGTCTTCCTCTAAAGTATCTTTAATATGGTTTATTTTAAAAAGTTAATCATTTCACATTATTCAGAGTTACGAAAAAATGCTAAATATAACTTTTGAAAGAATTTTATAAGTTAATAAAAGAGAAAAAAATAAAAATGCGTATACAGATCGAAAATGGATCTCCGGAAACACATATCAGAATGTATACTTATAACATATCATTGAAAAGCGGAGAATTTTATAAAAAAAACAATATCTAATATAGAAAGTTGTAGAAGGTAACGGAGGGCGGCAAAAAAATTATAAATAATAATCTTTGAAAACTGATAATATTTAACGTAAACCACATGTTTCAAGGAAATTAAATGAAATTTACTAATTAAATGTAAACTTTAAAAAATATTTTTAAGTTTGTAGAAAGTATTTAAAATCCACCTATTCAAGGCAATGGCATTGTTAAAAAACTATTTTGTAGTTGTGTGAAAGAAGAAGTAAAATATAAAACCATTTCATGGATTTATAAAGCATATGTTTATAACCTAAAATACATTTACTGTAGTGTAGTTTAGTGATTATAGATGTGATATTATATTTAAATAATTAGGTATCAAAGTTTATTCCGAAAAATTGTCATGTAACTTTTTACAAAACTAAATTAGTGAATAATTTGATGAATCTTCCCTTTGCGATATTCCAATAGTATCCACTACTATTTCATGGTACTTGTGTGAAAGAAGAAGTGAAATATAAAAATATTTCATAGATATGTTTATAGCCTTAAATATATTTACTGTAGTTTAATATCTCTAGATCTGATATCATATTTAAATATTTAGGTATCTATGGTCCGTTTACTCCGAAAAATCATCATGAAACCTTATAGAAAATTAAATTAGTGAATAAGTTGATAAATTTTCACTTTGCGATATTCCAACAGAATCTCCTTACAAGTAGTGTGAAAACTCTTAACCTGTCTTTGACAGACAATTCAAATCTCTTAATTCCGTTATAATAAACTTTGTAATGGAAAATAACAGTTTAACAACTAATAATCGTACAATTCATAATCAACGGATCGTACAATGTAAACCGGTGATATAATAAATAGGACTTTTGTTATTTTAATGGTATTTATGATTTGTTAGCTGTATTTTTTTAGCTTTAGCTCGGTTAAAAATGCAACTCAAAAATTTCATGATAGCCCAACATGGCCAGAAAATAATTTCGATTCAAAGTTGAGCGGTAAATGAAAGTTGCGTGTTGCGCGCACCAGATTTTTTATGTAGCATTGCTAAAAAATAAAAAAAAATGTAACTTATTTTCTAAACTGTGACGTCTTTGTAATTATTGATTTATTAATTAATTCTAATTTGTAAAGGTTGTTTGCTAAGTTTTTCTGAAAAGTTTCCACAGTAAAATAGTATTTTTTTTCTCAGATGTTTCATATCTCTTGATTATAATAATAATAATAATAATAATAATAAGGCTTAGCGAACCCGAAGGTTCGATGCCGACACCACCAATCGCTTGTTACACACCTCCCTCCACCGTTCGCCGTCCAAACCCAGTCCCTTCAGATCGGCTTTAATGCAATCTTCCCACCTTCGCTTCGGTCTACCCCTCGGACGCTTACCATTCGGCACAGCAAATATTAACCTTTTAGGAATTCTCTCGCTACTAAGCCCAACAACTTTACAAGCCCATTTGATTCGCCGCGATGAAATTACCTCAATTATATTACCCGGATATAGCTCACGCAATTCGGCGTTGTGTAACCGTCTGAACTCTCCGGTTAACTCATCCTTCTTCGGTCCGAATATTCTACGCAATACTTTATTTTCAAAAACCTTAAGACGCTGCTCATCCCTTAATGTAAGCGGCCAAGTTTCGCATCCATAAAGAACTGTAGGCAAGATAATTGTTTTATAGATTCTAATTTTTAAGTTTCGGGACAAGAGGCGCGAACTGAGTAGTTTTGTCACAGAAAAATAACAAGCATTTCCCGCCTTCAGTCTAACTTTAATCTCTTCTTCAATTTCGTTTTTTCTAGTTATCGTAGAACCTAGATACCTAAATTTATCTACCTGTTCAAACATATTACCATCTATATCGATATCACCAGTAGTATCGCCATTTTTGCAGCTTACCATATATTTTGTTTTATCCACGTTTATTTCGAGTCCTAGTTCTTTACCGGCTTTCATTAACGTTGTCGTATTTAGTTTTATAGTTTCAACGTCTTCGCTTAACAGTACCAGATCATCAGCATAGCCCAGCACGGATGTTGTCCCGCCCAGATCCAACCCTTTCTCGGTACGCATTACCTCCCTAATGGCATGTTCTAATGCCAAATTGAACAGGACAGGCGAAAGAGAATCCCCCTGTTTTAAGCCCGAACGAACCTCAAATTTTTCGGACAAATTATTACCGATTCTAACTTTATTGAGTGTCTCCGTCAAGCACATCCTGACTAGATTTACTAGTTTTTTTGGAATCCCCTGCTCGATTAGAATATTATACAGTTTCTGGCGGTCAATAGAATCGTAAGCCTTTTTAAAATCTATATACAGCTGGTGAACAATACCGTTATACTCCAATTTTTTCTCTAATATTTGCCGTAAAGAAAATATTTGATCAATAGTCGAACGATTCCGTCTAAATCCGCATTGGTAGTCTCCGATAATTTCCTCGGCGTATTCCGTGATTCGACTGGTTAAGATTACAGTGAATATTTTATAACATACCGGAAGGATCTCTTGATTATATATTACTAAAAATGAATATCCAATAAATTAATTAGGTATAATCAGTGTGATGTCACTTTGTTTTTTACTTCATTAGGTGGCAGTCATAATAATGGAAAGGATGGAATATAAAAAAATATATGAATTTTTAAATACCTGACGACAGAAATATGGAAATCCTATCTACACTAAGGGAATGTACTTCCAAATTTACTTAAACATCTTGTGGTAGATTGATATGGAAATTGAGATAAAAGATTATTCATAATATTTAAATTTGGTGAACTAGTCGGGTGCCTACCATCTCCTCCCACCCCTCCCCTCAAACGAAACTATTCGCCAGGAGCTGTAATGTGTAGTAAAAGGCACACTGAATACTACACAAACCAGAATATCTCATGTTCTGTACGTGGACGATTTAAAATTGTGTTTCAAGAGTAAAAAAAACTTGAGAACATGATCGAAAAGGTGAAATCATTTAGTAATGATGTAGACAGAGACTTTATGTACAGACAAGTGTGCTATAATTCTTATTAAATGGGGTAAGATAATGAATAATGAAGGAACGGAACTGCTTAACATTTGAACAATAAAATAATTAAACAATTTTGACCCTTACAAATATTTATGTTTCGGCCAACTTCTGAAATTCAAGAAAAGTAATAAATTACATTAAACTTACATTTAATAATGTATTAAACAACCAGGGTGTTTCAGGGTTAAGTGTCCAAACTGAAAATATAAATGAAGGAACTCAAAACAAAGAAAAATATTATTATGAAGGTATGTCCGCAAACGCTTTGTTTAGGAGATATTCACAACTAAAGATTTTTATTGTTATGAATTATTTACGTTATATTAAGTAAATAAAACTTATTTATTTGTTCCAACTACTTTATTAATTAAATGTTAACAAAATTTAATTATCCTTCTTCGCAAGGAATTAAGGTCATTCACCGGACATACGTAGACGTTTTGTTTAATATCACACCAAACAAAAAAATCCAGAGGTGTCAGGTCTGGAGAGGGTACAGGCCAAGTCACTGGTCCTGCACAGCCAATCCATGGAAGGCATTGTGATATATCGATAATACCAATAAGTGATTTAGTGGCAGTAACCTAACAGTGTTATCTTTTATGATGAATAAAAGAGTTGTAAATTCTGAATCAAATATCAGAGTGCATTTACAACTGCATTTTACTTTAATTTTTTCTACCTACACTACTTATGTTTCTCATACCTTGTTATCTGGTTCTTTTCTTAGCCCTGATGAAGGCCTGAACTTCAGGTCGAAACGTCGGCAAATGTCAAAATAAATATTATCATTTATTTTTGCCTGCTTATTTGACTGATCACCCCAACTATTCTTTTCTTCATTATTCACGACAGTCAACCATATACTCATAAATAGAAATAAATCTTCATCCGTAATAATCGTTAGTGCTTCTTTGGAACTTTCATCAATCCTGAATTGCATGAATGCATGTGCTTAATCAATCTGGGACCATTTACTACTTATTTGTAATTTACTACAAATCCCTTCTTTACTTGGCACAGGTTGACACACTCTAACTTCCCCATTCGATTTTAGAACCTATAGTATATAGGTGTCGCCCAAGAACTAACCGTCACAGGTTCTAGATTACCTACGGAAATTATTTTATTTATTATTTAAATTATTATTTATCTTTTTACCTTGTCTCTAAGTGCAAAAGGCACCCTATGTGGTTTCAATTGTACAGGCACTGTCTATTTTAAAAATTAATTCAATCTTTTTTCCTGTATAAACTCCTTGCCCTGGACTAAATGATTTCGGGAAT